TTTTCATAATTTTAACGCTACGTTTACTATTTTTCTTAGCGCCTTGAAAGTCGCTTCATTGAAGCGGTTAAATTATACAAGGGTCAAAAAAAATTGGTTTATTCGTAAAAGAAAAAAATGTAAGCCTTTAACTGCTTCTATATTTTAAATCTCCGTTAAATTTCCTACAATTCACGAAGTTTTTATAATTTTATCGCTATGTTTACTATTTTTCTCAGCGCCTTGAAAGTCGTTTCATTGAAGCGGTTAAATTATGCAAGGGTCCAAAAAAATTGATTTATTCATAAAAGAAAAAATGTAAGCCTTTAACTGCTTATATATTTTAAATCTCCGTTAAATTTCCTACAATGCCCGAAGTTTTCATAATTTTATGGCTACGTTTACTATTTTTCTGAGTGCATTGAAAGTCGCTTCATTGAAGCGGTTAAATTATGCCAGGGTCCAAAAAAATTGATTTATTCATAAAAGGAAAAAATGTAAGCCTTTAACTGCTTATACATTTTAAATCCACGTTAAATTTCCTACAATTCACGAAGTTTTTATAATTTTATCGCTATGTTTACTATTTTTCTTAGCGCCTTGAATGTCGCTTCATTGAAGCGGTAAATTATGCAAGTGTCCAAAAAAATTGATTTATTCATAACAGAAAAAAATGTAAGCCTTTAAGTGCTTATATATTTTAAATCTACGTTAAATTTCCTACAATTCACGAAGTTTTTATAATTTTATCGCTATGTTTACTATTTTTCTCAGCGCCTTGAAAGTCGCTTCATTGAAGCGGTTAAATTATGCAAGGGTCCAAAAAAATTGATTTATTCATAAAAGAAAAAAATGTAAGCCTTTAACTGCTTATACATTTTAAATCCACGTTAAATTTCCTACAATTCACAAAGTTTTTATAATTTTATCGCTATGTTTACTATTTTACTTAGCGCCTTGAATGTCGCTTCATTCAAGCGGTTAAATTATGCAAGGGTCAAAAAAATTGATTTATTCATAAAAGAAAAAAATGTAAGCCTTTAACTGCTTATACATTTTAAATCCACGTTAAATTTCCTACAATTCACGAAGTTTTCATAATTTTAACGCTACGTTTACTATTTTTCTTAGCGCCTTGACAGTCGCTTCATTGAAGCGGTTAAATTATGTAAGGGTCCAAAAAAATTGATTTATTCATAAAAGAAAAAAATATAAGCCTTTAACTGCTTATATGTTTAAAATCTACGTTAAATTTCATACAATTCCCGAATTTTTTATAAGTTTATCGCTATGTTTACTATTTTTCTGAGTGCCTTGAATGTCGCTTCATTGAAGCGGTTAAATTATGCAAGGGTCCAAAGAAATTGATTTATTCATAAAAGAAAAAATGTAAGCCTTTAACTGCTTATATATTTTAAATCTACGTTAAATTTCCTACAATTCACGAAGTTTTTATAATTTAATCGCTATGTTTACTATTTTTCTGAGTGCCTTGAATGTCGCTTCATTGAAGCGGTTAAATTATGCAAGGGTCCAAAAAAATTGATTTATTCATAAAAGAAAAAATGTAAGCCTTTAACTGCTTATATATTTTAAATCTACGTTAAATTTCCTACAATTCACGAAGTTTTTTATAATTTTATCGCTATGTTTACTATTTTTCTGAGTGCCTTGAAAGTCGCTTCATTGAAGCGGTTAAATTATGCAAGGGTCCAAAACAATTGATTTATTCATAAAAGAAAAAAAAATTAAGCCTTTAACTGCTTATATATTTTAAATCTACGTTAAATTTCCTACAATACACGAAGTTTTCATAATTTTAACGCTACGTTTACTATTTTTCTTAGCGCCTTGAAAGTCGCTTCATTGAAGCGGTTAAATTATGCAAGGGTCCAAAAAAATTGATTTATTCATAAAAAAAAAATATAAGCCTTTAACTGCTTATATATTTTAAATCTACGTTAAATTTCCTACAACTCACGAAGTTCTCATAATTTTAACGCTGAGCGGTGTTTGTTATAACGACCAACAACTCCATAATACAAGACTAGGTTTTGTAATAAATAGTGATTATGAGTATAATCTATCAAACTATAATGACTAATAATTTAATTAATTAGAAACAAAAACTTTTTTTATTTTTTAGGAACTCTTGATACAGCAGCATTATAGGAATATTCTTCGTTGAACTCTTTAACAACTCTAGTGTAACTAGTACCAACTTTTACGTAATAGTAAAGTAAATACATACATACATATTTTAAAATAGCAAAAAAAATTTGGTTTACATTTATAAAAAAAAATATATGTTTGTGTCATATGTCAAATATGCCAGGCTTTAGAAAAAAAACAGAGAACATAATCTCATTAAGGATATGAATATCTACAACTTTTATCTAAAATACACTAAAACAAAATTAGGGAACATTTTTAACATAGCCCAAGTTTTTTTAACTATCCATAAACCATAAGCCATAAACTTTTTCAAAATCCGAAAAGCGCATATGTTTGTCCTCACAAAACTGCAGTTCTTTCCCTATTTAACCGACTTTCTAGCTCCAGCAGTTTCCAAGATACGCATAAAGAACATCGTAGAAAACTCACCCTGTATACACATTTCAACTTTGGACAAAAAAGTCTATTATCTTTTGTAGTTATAGCAGATATTTTTGCCATAACTATCATTAAGCAGTAAAAAGTAAATAATCTCTAAAGAAAAAACATCAATTGATAAAATATATTTATGAAAATAAAGAAACATTTTCCTAATCGGTATTAAAATAAACACATTTAACAAAGATTTGTAAAATTTTTCATAACGCACGCGGTATTTTAAAATTCTCGCGGTCTTAAATACTTGGGAATATACACGAAAGCCTATATTAGACCAAAGAGGTGCCAGGAGATACAGTGTTGTCGGATTTTGGAATTAAATATGGCTCCCTACAGACGGAGGCTAGGTCGTGATTAAAGCCCCGTTCTCAGAACGGCGTGTCGCGGGCGACACAGTTTGACATTTCAAACAACCAATGGGAGCTGTACTAAATTTAAAATTGACAGCTGTTTGAATTTTGTACAAATCTCATTGGTTCTTTTGACGTGTCGCTGGCGACAGTCGCTGTTCTGAGAACGGGGCTTAAGACGTAGCATGGTGTATAAGTGTATTAGCGAGTGGCGCCACCTCCATAAACTCTAGTGAATTTCGCTGTATAACTGTATTTGTGTATGTGAAAAATGACCTCCACACAAAAATTTGTCAAAACGCTTAGTAGATCTCTAAAAACCGTTTGGCACTATTATACACGTGGGTACTAATTGGCCTCCGATTTTGTGAATTCGCCTCCGTTTCGGAGGCCAGTGTTTGAGCAGCATATACACATACGGAGGCATTTTTGGCTATTTGCATATATATATATACATATATATAATAATTTATTTTCCATTATATATATATATATATATATATATATATATATATATATATATATATATATATATATATATATATATATATATATATATATATATATACATATATATATCAACTATATATACAAAGAAGTCGTTCTTCTTGCTTCTGTCATTATTGACAGGTATTGGTTAACGGTAAAAATATTTTAATGTTTTCTGATAGCCTTTCCTACAGTAGCAAAATCTCGATCTGAGTCCATAAAAGTGTGTCCCAACTGAGGAAACTTGTGATCAATTTTCTAAAAGTTTTTGTTCTGACCTCCCGCCGAGTCACTCCATGCTATTAGGTGATCAAAACTCTTATTTTCTCCCTTTATGTTCTTGAGAAATGCCAAGACTAAACTATTTACTTCTTCAAGTCCACGACATTTCAATCCAAATATGAAAATACCCTTTGCCATTCTGCTGGGTTGTTCAAACTGAATGAACACCTAGATTATAAAGCCATACTTTTCTCAAGTAAAAAGTTTAACAAGTGGAAATTTTTGGCAAAGGAAGTGTTTTCTGCAAATCAAAAGTAAGGTATAGAGTATATTCATTATTTTTTGCAGTTTGGCGATCAATTTTCTGTTCACAAGCTTTTTTGAATTTGGCAACGTGCTCATCAAAAAGCAAAATATGAAAAGTAATGCAGAAAGACGTCAAGTCAAGAGTTAACATCCTTTTGCCTAAAGTATATAAGTTAACACGTTTTTTACAAAACAAAATTATTTTCTGTTGTTAACGGTTTTTTGATGTCTTGTCTACGCGAATGGAGCACCATCTATTACTCACGAGATTTACTAACCGACAAAGTATCAAGTTAATACCCTTTTGCAACAAGAATATGAAATGCTAAAAAAAGTGAATTAACACCTTTTTGCATTATGGTCTTCAATTTACATAAAATGCTAGCAATCTTCATTTCGTAGCCATCGCTAACGCCGTTTTTTTTCGATCATACAATACATTCTACATTCTACCATTGCCTTCCTTTAGGGAGCTTTAGGCTAGTTGCTCTATTTAAATAAATACTTTTACTTAAACAAATAAATCAACTGTATGGGCCTGTGATCAAACTAAGATTTTTGGATGGACTTAATGAATTAATTACTTAATTAACATTGTTTTAATTTGAGTTCTCTAGATAAAAAATTGTTATCTGCAAATTTTCTTTCATATTATTATCAAAAAAATAAACAATCTCTAAGGTAAAGTAAATACTAAAAAATTTAAGAGTACTTAATACAGAAATACTTATAGAAAATAAAGGAAGTGCTATATTTGTTATCTAGGGATCAGCTATGTATATTGATATCATATTATCTAAAAGTTGAATGTTTAAATTAAGTAATATTTACATAGCATATCTTTTGCTGTGTCATTAACAAATTATTCAGTTCTTAGATGAGGAAACATACACTTAAGAAAATAAGTTATTCAAGAAAAAATTTTGCAATTTTAGATTGAAAATAAATAACATTTTATAATAGCTAAAGTAACAATGAATTATGCAATATTTAAAATGTGTAACATTCCAATTTTTAAACAGATATAAAATTTTTACTCACTCGATCAGCTCCAACAACTACTGCAGATATATTTCTAGTCTTCATTAAGGCTGCTACCATACTATCACAAATTAGAGTTGCTGGTATTTTTTCATGAATTAATTCATAAGCTGTAAGCCTTGCCCCTTGGTTATATGGTCGTGTTTCTGTGCAATACACATGTTCTAAAAATATTGTATGTTTTAATATACCATCTTTTATTTAGAAAAAGCATTAATCTAACCTAATCGCTTCATTGTATTTAAACTTCTGATTACTCCTAGCGCAGTCCCATATCCAGCTGTAGCTAAAGATCCTGTATTACAATGAGTTATGATTCGAACTGGACTATCACCAGACACTAAGGATAAAATTTCTTTGGCACCATTATCACCTATTGCTGTATTATCAGCAATATCCTTTTCCAACATCTGTCGAATTGTTGTTAGGAACCTAATATTAGTCAATACAAAATCCAAGTAAATAAAATTATTTTTATATGAATTTTATTTAAGTTTTAATATTAAAATTAAATATAAAAGTAATGTTAAGATATAGAGGATAATAATTATGTTTATACTTACTTAGTTTTCATATCCTCTAGACTAACAGCCTCATCTTTGCTTAACTGATTAGCTAATTCAATCAGTTCTTCAGCAGCAGACTTCATGTTTACTGCTGTTGGCCGTGAAGAAACTAAGTAATTTAATTTCCCTTCCACTTCTTGCCTGAGCTGTTTTTTTGACTCAAATTTTTCATTCTGTATTTCAACCACTAAACTCAAACAGCCAACAATTGCTATAGCTGGAGCACCACGAACCTACCAAAAATAAATATAGACTTAACACAAGATTTGTAAACCATATTTTATACATTTTTTTTTTTAATTTTACATACTTGCATTTTATTGATAACTTTCCATCCATCTTCTACCCCTCTAACTTTCAAGTATTTAGTTGCGGCTGGTAAAAGAAGCTGGTCTAATATTTCTAAATTATTTGTTTCTTGGTTATAAATAATGGCTCTTAGCGACATTTTGTGAAAAAAATAGGTCTGAAAGTATACAAATATCTTCACACAATGATTTGCTTTATTGTATGATATTTATCACAGTAACATTTATCTTCTAAAAGACTATCACGTTTGCGTAATAAAAAAATTAAATTTTTATCTCCTTCAAAAAACCGGCATCTATGAAAGATTTTAATTGTCAAATTAGATAATGAAAATGACATAAAAAAACTGATATTTGACATCTACAAACAGCATTGCCAACTCTATCTCACTCTCTGGTCTATCTAGACAAGGAAAGAGAGGGGACAGGCCGGGTTCGGAAGTAGTTAACTAAGACGTAATTTACCTGATTAACTACGTGTAGTTTTTCTTCAAAAACTACGTCTTTTCTCGTTTAATTAACTACATGAAAACTTCGTTAATAAACTATGTATTGATATTATGAATAATTTTCATTTGTATGAGATAATAGAGATAATATGATGTAAATATTATATTTAAAGCCATATTTCCTCTGTTTTCTTAAATACATTATGTGTTTTAAAGCTTCAACTTATTATAACCTCACCTCAAACCTTTGATATTTGAAAGTTACATACATAGGTTACATAAACTACACCCTCTACATAAACTACATTAACTACATGTAATGTAGTTTATGTAGTTTTTAAAAGTAACATGTAGTTTTCCGAACCCTGGGGACAGGTAACGCGGCAGCTGAAAGTGAGGCCACTTGTTACCACACGAAATTCTCCAATGGGGTAGCATCAGAAAGTAGCTTGTACGACGACAGACGATACAAAATATTTATTAAAACGTAAACTAATATAACAATCGGCACGCCAACTCTGCTCAGATTCCATTGTTTAAAATTTCTATAAAATTTGACCTTGACGGCGCCATTATCGTTTCCTAGTCAGGGCCGGATTAAAACTTATCAAAAAATTTCTCATAAAATACGACAGGGTCGTATTAAAAAAATACTGTAATTGACTGAAACTGAATTTTATTTACACAATACTTTTGTCCAAACAAATGAATCGTTAACCGCGCATACTTCTCGAAAAGTAAAAATGAAAAAATCAATTAAATATTTCACTGTAGAGAATAGACAATTAAAATTAAAAAACACGCAACTAACAAAAACATGCCAGGAGTTACAAACAAGAATTAAAGAAATACCAATAAAATATTTATTGAATAATATAAAGCGATTGGCGTAGCAAATTTTATTAATATTCAAATTTCACAAATTAATAAATCCACAATTTTTTTTCAGAAACTTCTATTTTTTTTATGGCAGGAAACAAAGTAGGTACCGCATTGTATTTTATACAGTTACAAAGTGAATTGGTAAACATTTTAAATTCAAAATGAACAGAACGCAACTTGTACCTTTTGTGGGCCTTATTTATATATTCAAAATGTATTGTTAACTTATTTTAGATATACTCATTTTATTTACTTTTATAATTATAATTAAATTAATAGTATAATGATTTTTAAATTTAGTTTTTAATGTCTAGATACAACATTAAATTTTACTAAATATTTAACATTAAATCTTACTAATATTAAAGTTTGTTAAAATTTTTAATTAGATCTTCCTATTTAGCTGAATGTCCTAATATGTATACTACTGTTTTTTTTTCACAACTAAAATATGTTAAAATAATTAATCACATATATACAAACCTAATAGGATCTCTAGGAAACAGAAAGAAACTTTTCTTGAACAACAAAAATAAAACTACTAAAACAAATTATATTACATTATAATAATACTAGCTCCCGTATATAGCGTTTGACGCCTTGGGAGTAGCAAGGTACAGCTTCCCATACTAGAGCCGTTCGGTATACAAAGGAAGGTAATGTGGCTAGCACTACGCTTCAACCGCCTATTGTTTCTCGAAATTTCGCGTTACCTCAGGATTGTGAATCCCAAGTACTCATTTAAGGCTGAGGGGTGCAGCCACTATTCTAAAAACGGCGTATCGAGCGGCAGCGTAACCTTGAATAGATTTCCAGTAATTCTATTGGCTGAAACATTCATCTGTCAGAAATTTTATCTGTCAAATTCATCTGTCAAAAATTTCAGCCAATAGAATTACTGGAAATCGATTCAAGGTCGTTACGCCGTTTTTAGGATAGTGTGGCTGCACCCTGAGTCGACCTAGGTACCCAAACTATTTTTATTTTAATAAAAATTGTCGGCTGATGAAATGCCGGGTGTGGGATTCGAACCCACTACCTTGAGATTGGTAGACGAGAGCCTGTACCTCTACACCACCGGGCACCTATTGGCAATTATATTACATAAGAAACGAAAAGAAAACTAGAAAAAACAAATATATCACATAATAAACAAAAGTAAAACAAAATATATCACTCAAGAAAAAATCAAAATAAATTAAGCTGCACGCTACTGACTCGAATCTGCTGTAACTGTGTGTTGTCGCTGAAAAAACTACGACACTGGTTACTTTCTGTTGATGGAAACGCAAATGGCGGCGTGCGCGAGGATATGCGCGTAGCGTTCCCGCCAAAGCGAGTTACCCTGCCGTGTGATTTATATGCCGTGCTAATATAACGTTCATTTTTGAGTAATGCATATACAATTTTGTATTTTATAGTCTCACCTTTATAATATTAGAATATCTAAGTCAATAATGCAAAATTTATTTAACAGTCACAGTGCGAACTGATCATCAAGACAGTTATTTATTTATTAACGTGTGTATAATGTATAATTAATAACTCAGATATTTTAGATACGGAGTTGTTTGACGCTAGATATAATGTTTTCCGGAAAGATCGAAATTATGCGCAATTGTCGTGTAGCAGGGGTGGTGGTGTGGTCTTAGCAGTTCGAAATATATTTTCGGTATCACAGATTGTTTTATCTGAACCAGTGCCTTCTATTAAAAGATCAGCCTACGGGCGAGATTAATGACGTCACGCTAGTTAGATATAACGGATTAATAAATATGTTGTAGAATACATGGAAAACATAATTATTCCTCAGATTTTTGGTTTGTATTTTAAAAATGATATAGTTTAAATGAAATATACATAATATACAGTTAATAACTACAGCATATATACCTATTTATAGTAATAAATACTTTGGCAAATAAACTATGAACCATACAAATGCAGCAAATGTTTTACGATGACAAGTAATGTATAGGTACATAAGATAATGGGTAAAATGTAAATATATTTTAAATTTTGGGGTTTGAAAATCGATCTAATTTAACAAAAAACATTCAATATCTATTAATAGTGAGTATTATTATATGCATTCACAAAATTTTTATGTATATTTTGCAAGTATCAATGTTCGAAAAATTATATTTACAAATAATACAATGTTATCTAAAAAAAGGCGTCAGCGATGGCTATGAAATGAAGATCGTTGGCATTTTATATGTAAAATTATTCTAAAACTTTTTATTTTCTTGGGATTTTTAGGTTCGGGAAAAACGCCGATTTAAGTTTTCATTTGGGTTTTCATTATTTTTATTTGGTTTAAGAAAACGTTTCGGCTAACTATAGCCTTCATCAGTGTTGTGTCATATGAAAAAAATAGTGTCGAATATAATCCAAAAAATTACATATACAATATAATTCACACCTCATAATGTTTACTGCAATTAATAAACTAATATAAACTTATCAAATATTAAATTATTATAATTACAGCAATTAATAAACTAATATAAACTTATCAAATATATAGCCGAAACGTTTTTTTTAAACCAAATAAAAATAATGAAAAACCAAATGAAAACTTAATCATCGTTTTTCCCGAACCTAAATCCCAAGAAAATCAAAAAATTTAGAATATTTAGAAACAAGGTTCAAGAATATCAAATTTTCCAAGATTGTAAAATTCTAGTTAATTATTTTATGTGTACAGTTATTTAGGGAATGTCATCGATGTTCATGTCCAAGCCAACTAGACGCCGATTTTTTTCGATGATACGGTATAATTCTTACATAAAATGTAAATAACATTAGACCAATTAAAACAAAGAAATATTAATTTCTTGGTATTTTTAGTAACACCTTTATTCTTAAAACTTAATTTTGTATTATGCAAATATACCAATTTTATTGTTATTTTATTCATATTGTATTCAGCCATCACTTAAATATTTGATATTAATTTGGTATTATAAATAATCAACTCTATTCATTAAAAATTACTGCACAAATATATGTTATGCTTGACATACATTATATATTATCAAACAAAAACACATTCTTCTTTTAAACTGTATCAGTCTTGTCTTTACAAAAATCTTTTTTAAAATTTGAACTCAAAATAATAATCTTTTTCATGATCTTTAATATACTTATTCTTTATTTTTCCCTAGATCATAATACCTACTTACGTGTTTGAATCTATCGAAGCTGGACAACTGCTGGAGTGGAGATTCCACAATATTGTCAAAGGTGTATTACTGGTTGCATAACTGCATACTGCTAAAAAATCATAAACGGCATTGAGGAACCTGGCGCATTCAGCCAGAAAAGTGATGCCAGAATTCTTTAGAAAAATCTAGAAACCCAACCGCCAGGGGTATATAAAACCCGCGCTTTGACAGTTGGACTAAGTTTAAAGTTTAAAGTTGGAAGTCTAAATTCTGAAGTTTGAAAATACCGCGAAATACCGTTAAGGTAATAGTAGTTGCAAAAGTTATTGTTGTAAATAGTATAAGTTATTGTACAGAGTGAAACAAATAAATTCCGTACGTGTTTGAATCTATCGAAGCTGAACCAACAACACTTGGAGTGGAGATTCCACAATATGAATAAAATAAACATAATTGTCCAGTTTTCATTAATACCATCATGGGAGAATATTATTTTTAAATTTATTAAAGATATTTTAAATAGAATTCTCTTGATTTATAACTCGTACCCACTTTTCTTGCTCTTCCGGACACTTTAGGCTGCTTAGTATAACTATCCTTTCCACCAGGAACACAACAAAGATGAGGCATAGCACCAAAAACACACTCCACTTAAGCTTTATTGATGAATTGTTAAAGTCTTAAAAAACACATCGTTGTATCACGATGAGTAAAAAATGTATGGGCACTTTTAGGTTAAATCACTTACACAACGTGTACTTTTTCAATTTTTCCATTTTTTTATGCGTAACCGAGAGTGACCATAAATCTGGTAGTAGTTTATGTCACTTAAACACCAAAATAATTAGTTTTTTGCACTACAATAATAAATAATACCAAAAATCAAAGAGTTAAAACCAAAAATCAACCG